TGAGGATGTGGGCTGTAAAAATATGTGGAAATGAAGAGATTGGCGCAAGACAGGCGAAAATGTAGGACCGCTTCAAACCAGTTGGAAGACTGATGACAAACAAACAACCACCATACACTGGTCTACCCGAGCGCGTGACAGAGAGGAACGCAGGAGATGCTGGGGCCCGCGCGCAAGCTGATGTATGGGTCGTTGAAGTGCTAAGTAAATGCTCTGACAATGAATCTGAAACAGCTAGAAGAATCAAAACTGAGTTTCAGGTTCAGATGGAAGGTACAATATTTTAAAACAATTGCTTGATATTCATATTGTTCACATTCACTGCCCATGCCTGTTACCTTCTGGGCCACCTGTAATTATGTTACCTTAATGTAAATTATTCTGTATTGTGACATTTGAAAGGTTTTACCTAATTTATTTCTTGATTAGATGTCAATAGCTGATGGCTGTTTAGAAAGCTGACACAGGATTAATAGAAAGGAAAATTTAAGAGACCAAAAGCTGCTTTACTTTTCAGAACAGCATTATGATTATTAGAGCAGAGCCAGAAAGAAGGAGGATAGAAGCATTTGAAATGTTGAAAATTAACTGGATTGATAAAGTACGAATTGAGCTGGTCTTGGACAGGTTAGACGAAGGAAAAATCTTACGAGAAGAAGAGATAGGATGGTGAGACACATTCTGAGGCACCCAGTCATTTCAATAGCCCCAGTGCATCCTGGTGAGCAAGGTGTAAGGAGGTCATCCACAGTGACATTACGATCTGTATGGGATGGCCCGCTGACACGCCGAAAGTGAGTAGCAGTTTCAACTTCTGTTATAGGCTGCATCAATCCAACTTGTACAACAATACTAATATCAGCACCAGAATACCTGTGACAAAAAGATAAGTGTGTACAGTGGATTTCAAACAGGTACAAATATCTGGTTCTGAAATCATACGATAATGGGCCAAACAATACCAAGAGAGTATTTGTTTGCTTCGTGAATTACTGTTGAAAGCACATACAACTACAAGCACGGAACATGTTGGTGTTATGATGGATTTAACCTTGACCATTCAGTTGAGCTCATAAACCTCCAAACATTCTAGACCCTGACATTGGTAGAAGATGGAACCGAGTGATCAGTTAGCAGGGCAAAGAAAATACAGTAACAAATGGACCACAAATCAAATTTTCAGTAATCCATTTCACAGAAGCATTGATTTTGAGTACTAAAAATCAAGTTATTTTGTTATCAATTTGTTTTAAAAACTGCTTAACACAAGGAATTTCTTGCACTGATCAATATTGCACATTCTTTTGAAATTAACAGCAAGCCTTTGAAGTGGTTGTAGGATTGCACTGCCATGCATGCAGGGAAGTTACTTTAATTAAAAATGTTATATTTTACCCAGACTTACATCTTCTTCAAGACAATCTAACAGGTGTCTGAACCCAATGGACCAATTGAAATTTCTAAAATATCATTTCATACCCTAATATTTATGTTACTCGTCTGTACTGAAACAAATGTGTTATTACATCTAACAAAAAAATTGGCAAACCAGAAAAGCAATTTCCATGCCTCAATGCTCATAAAATTCTTTAAAATTAAAAACTGAATTAAATAAACATTGTATTCCCACACCTGGTGTGGCTCAGTTAGTGTAGTGACGCTACGGACTGGACGACCGGGGTTCGATCCCCGACAGGGACAAAGGATTTTTCCTCTAGCCTTTGAGTCCAGACCGGCTCTGGGGCCGAAGTTACTTTAATTAAAAATGTTATATTTTACCCAGACTTACATCTTCTTCAAGACAATCTAACAGGTGTCTGAACCCAATGGACCAATTGAAATTTCTAAAATATCATTTCATACCCTAATATTTATGTTACTCGTCTGTACTGAAACAAATGAGTTATTACATCTAACAAAAAAATTGGCAAACCAGAAAAGCAATTTCCATGCCTCAATGCTCATAAAATTCTTTAAAATTAAAAACTGAATTAAATAAACATTGTATTCCCACACCTGGTGTGGCTCAGTTAGTGTAGTGACGCTACGGACTGGACGACCGGGGTTCGATCCCCGACAGGGACAAAGGATTTTTCCTCTAGCCTTTGAGTCCAGACCGGCTCTGGGGCCTCCTCCTATCCAATGGGTACCGGGATCCTTTCCCTGGGGTAAAGCGCAGCTGGGGTGTGATGCTGACCACTCACCCCCATCTAGCGCAGAGATCAAGAATGAGTAGGAGCTATACCGCCTCTCCCCCCCCCCAAGCCCACATGGTACATAGTGGGACAGCTTTACTTTAACATTTCAACTCGTGCTTTGTACAGCCTCAATACACAGCCTGCGTCTAGAAGTGCCACACAAGACTGGAGCTTAGTATCAAACCTGAGTAAGAAATGTTCAGTGAACAGTGATCTGGAGTTGCTTCCATATAAAGTTACAAAGAGTAGCATGTCTGTCCATCTCCTTGTTTCATTTTCTAACCAAGTGAGTTTTTTTATTAAATATGATATGGTGGTTTATAGCTGATCGGCGAACTTCATTATGGTCCATTACTGAACATACATTAAACTGCCAAGAGACATAAACAATTCTTCTTGAATTTCATCAAATGTACATATTCAAAAACTGTTTATCTATTATTTATTTATTTAGTGTTGTGTGTGACGACAGGTCAGGTCCATATGAACAGGATCCTTCGATCCTTTTCTCGGACTGGGACCTGTTCATATACGTTCTTGGCAGATGATCCGGAAGTGGTTTGCCATTGCCTTCTTCTGTGTGTGAATGGGATGCCACGGAGAAACCGGGGAAGCCCCCGGAGGAAAACTCCGTGATGCCTAGACCACGGCCTTGCCCAACACAAGTTATAAATTTGAGCACCACCGGGAATTGAACCCGGGACCCCAGGCTTACAAGGCTAGTGTTCTGACCGCTAGACCACCGTGGAATTAGAGGTATACTTTATAAAGTACCATTTCTTTGTATGATGAGTTATTTTTGAGAAATCTCAAGTTCCTTTTGAGCTTCAAGTAGGAGTTAAGGAAGATTAACACAGACCATCTCACTCTGATGTGTCTTTGGTACTTGTAGTAATTATGCCACTTTATTCTCGAGTAATATACATACCCGTCCGTCTTCTTGGCCAGCTTTTTAGAGCCTCTTCTGTGAGTGTGTGTGATGTACTTCTCGAATGCAACTTGAACATCAGCAGTCTGGCTTGCTCTTCAGGAAGAGGAATATAAATTCTCTTTTGAAACCTTCTTCGAATAGCAGCATCTAATACTCAAGGGATATTAGCGCCTAAAACTAGTATGCCATCATTATCAAACGGAACACCTGAGAAGAATGGAAAAGAAATTGTTCCTTCATAAATCAATAAAAGTCCCCTTTAGAATATGAGTAATAAAGCAGGCGTGACCAAACTGCATGCTTCAAGGTCATGGAAGGATTTCATCACCTCCACTGTGTGGCTCTAAGTCACCAGTACAGTGTTGTTAGCGTCACTATGCTGCAAGTTCTAAGCTGTTTTATTTGCCTAGGCTCCACTGTTTGTGTTGAAATGTTGCATGACTTCTGTGTCTTTGAAGCATGAAATTTGGTAACATCTACTACAGTTCACTTCTCTTGAATTACTTACTGATGCAATCATCTGAAGAACCAAGGATCACCTGTTATTTACAAAGTAAAGGAACGCTTTCTGATGTCTACACTTTTACCAAAAACACTCAAAACCTATTTATATCTTAATTGCGTCATGTTTGTGTTATATCAATACATATATTTATTTTTCCAGTCTATACACAAAACTTGTTTTAAAATAATGTTGTTAAAATTATTTATAACATTTACAATATAAATTGCAT